ATTGTTAATATTGTTTAGTAAAACAATTGAATAAAAAGAACTTGTTTGCCCTTGGTTATCTAATCAAATTGTGCCAATACTTTCAATTATAGCGATTGATCAGTATATAATATTACATTTTCAAGTTATTTCAGTCAAAACTGGGGGTCGTGTTACCTAGGTAGTACGCCACCCTCTCTAAAAAACTGACATTAGGCGCCATGGCGCCTAAAGTTAGAGAATTCGGTAATATTATTATGATGTTATTTGAATATATTCAAATAAAAATTATTGGTTACTTTTAAAAATCTATAATTTTAATTATCAATATATAAAAATGCAAAAAGTAAAACACAAAAAATGAGAATTTAAAGGAAATTGTTTTTATTAATTCTAATTAAATCACAATTTAATTCTTCAAAATGTGTTTATGAAAAGCACTATTATGTGTGAATTTTGCCAAATTTTTGTTTAAAAAATATATTAAAATACCTATTCAAATAAATACTAGTACAGTACCTGTATAATAATTTAAATAAAGGGACTCCGGTATATACTCTCACCGAGTATTCCCTTAACGCAGATACAGTACTAGAAGTATAAGATGATAATAACGGATTATTGTTATACTTTTCATGCACTTCAAAATTATATAAAACTAACTTACCAAGGTCGATTAAACTAATTGCACTGAAATTAATGTATCAGTTCATTTGATGTCGATTTGAAGAAGCGATAAATCTTTTTTTATTAAACAGAAAATTGATACTTCCTGACCCGGTTCAAATTAGTTCAGTGGTTGCTTATAAATAGCACTAATCCTTACGTATAGCAATATTAAACTTGACATAAAAGACTTTCAATTTATTTTTGCAATTATTAATTTACGATATTTTTTATTTGCAGAATTATGTTTGCAAGATAAATTTACTAGTTCAATATTGAGAAAAATTTCTATAACAAAATAATAATAGTTAATTCACATGGTTAACACTTATTTACGTATTTTAAATAATTATTGTTTTCTCGTTGTATTAAATCGTTGTCCGCCGTCGACCACCAGATTCTCGCCGGTTATGTATTGGGCGTCAGTCGAGGCCAGGAATACCACGGCTTTGGCGATATCCAGGGGTTCGCCAATTCGGCGCAGGGGTGCAGACCTTGCGATCAATTCTTTCACCGATTTTGCTGTCGTTCCCACGTCTGTAGCGGCCGGACTATGCATTATATATAATGGTGGTGGGACAATTAAAATTTTTAGTAGAGTAAACAGGATAATTTAAACCTGTAATGTATGCAAACCTGACTGTATTAACGCGAACCCCTTTGGGTCCCAACTCGAGGGCCAATACCTCTGTCAACATATTTGTGGCCGCTTTGACCATACAGTACGTCATAACCGATGGATCCTTCAGATTGAAATAATATTTATATTATAATATGGTTTTATATATTATACCTACTTTGTACTAGTATAATTTATCGTGTATGATATATAAAGTAATAGTAAATTAAAAACTGAATATTAAAGTAACGCACCGGGATAAGTGCAAACACGGCCGATGTATCAATTATAGTGCCGTTAGTTTTCTCCAGGTATGGGACAGCCAGGCTAGTTATGTGCACGATAGCTCTTAAGTCAATATTAAATGCCAAATCAAACTCTTCAGTGATATTCTTGTCGTGAACGTCTCCTAAGGGGACAATACCGGCGTTATTGACCAACACATCCAACTGTCCAAATGTTTTGATGGTTTCTTTGATAAGTCTCTCGACGTCTTCCCTTTTGGTCAGATCTGCCGTCACTTCTAACGGCTATTCAGAGATATAATAATATTTTAGATAATTATTTAAATTATGAGTTCATTCATACCTGTAATTTTTGCGGTGATAACTGTTGAACTTCTTGAGCCACTTTATGGACTTCTTCCTCTTTCCTACCGGTGACCACCACTTTGGCCCCTAATACTGAAAACAGTTTCACAATACCCTCCCCTATGCCTGAACTACTTCCGGTCACTAACACCACTTTCCCCGTGAAGTTACGCGAGTTTTTCACCGCTAAGTAGTCATCGACTGGAAAATCGTTGACATTTAAAGACATTGCAATTGAAAGCAATGCTAACAATACTANCACTTTCCCCGTGAAGTTACGCGAGTTTTTCACCGCTAAGTAGTCATCGACTGGAAAATCGTTGACATTTAAAGACATTGCAATTGAAAGCAATGCTAACAATACTATTACTATTGACTTCATATTTAGAATACAGAATATGTCCAAATTATTTTAATTCTATTTAACAATTGAACAAGTTATTTATATACCATTCATTTTGTACAAAATTTTTAGTGCATTCAGTCTATTATGACAACTTGAATATTGCTATACTTAAGGATTAGTGCTAATTTATAAGCAACCAAAGAACTAATTTGAACCAGGTCAGGAAGTATCAATTTTTTGTTTAGTAAACAAAGATTTATCGCTTCGTCAAATCGACATCAAATGAACTGTTAAATTAATTTCTGTGCAATTAGTTTAATCAACCTTGGTAAGTTAGTTTTATATAATTTTGAAGTGCATTAACAGTATAGCAATAATTCATGTTATTATTATCTTATAATTCTAGTACTGTATCTGTCTTAAGGGAATAATCGGTGAGAGTATATTAATATACCGGAGTCCTTTTATCTAAATTATTATACAGGTACTGTACTAGTATTTATTTTAATAGGTATTTTAATATAATATTTTTTAAACAAAAATTTCACACATAATGTGATGAATAAATAGTGCTTTTCATGTAAAGATTTTGAAGAATTAAATTGTGATTTAATTAGAATTAATAAAAACTATTTACTTTAAATTCTCATTTTTTGTGTTTTACTTTTTGCATTTTTATATAATTAAAATTATAGATTTTAAAAATTAACCAATAATTTTTATTTGAATATATTAAAATAACATCATAATAATATTAATTACAATTTTAACCTTAATTGCTTATAAAATGTTATAATTAATTAATTAATAATTGTGCTTAAACTAAATTATAATTAACTTATCGATGCATTAAATCGTTGTCCGCCGTCGACCACCAGATTCTCGCCGGTTATGTATTGGGCGTCAGTCGAGGCCAGGAATACCACGGCTTTGGCGATATCCAGGGGTTCGCCCACTCGTCGCAGGGGTGCTGTCTTTGACACTAACTCTATCATTGATTTGGGTGTACGCTCCACTTCTGTTAGGGCCGGGCTATTGATTAATAAGAGATATTTGTTAACATTTTATTTCATAAATAAATATTAATTATGAAGTGATTTAACAAATGTCTGCAAACCTGACGGCATTAACGCGAACCCCTTTGGGTCCCAACTCGAGGGCCAATACTTCTGTCAACATATTTAGCGCCGCTTTTGCTGAACAGTAGTTCAAAGCCGATGGAGCCTTTGGGTAGAGATTTATATTATTAGTAAAATAATGAATAATTGATTATTAAAGTGATGTACTGTACAGGGACAATTGCTAGACCAGATGATATGTCAATAATGGTGCCGTTAGTCTTCTCGAGGTATGGGACAGCCGTGTGAATGGTCTGCACGACAGCCCTTAAGTCGATGTTAAACACCAAATCAAACACATCGGTGATATTCTTGTCGTGTATCTCATCCCTGGGGTATATCCCGGCGTTATTGACCAACACATCCAACTGTCCAAACGTTTTGATGGTTTCATTGATAAGTTTCTCGACGTCTTCCTTTTTGGTCAGATCTATTTTACAAGTTTTTCTGTTCGTGTTATTATAAACTATTCAAAAATATTCATTATAGAGCATATGTTATTTAACTAGATTATTTTTATTCATACCTTTAGTTTTTGTGGTGATAACTCTTGTACTTCTTGAGCCACTTTATGGACATCAGCCTCTTTCCTACCGGTGACCACCACTTTAGCCCCTAATATGGAGAACAGTTTGACAATACCCTCCCCTATGCCTGAACTACTTCCGGTCACTAACACCACTTTCCCCGTGAAGTTACGCGAGTTTTTCACCGCTAAGTAGTCATCGACTGGAAAATCGTTGACATTTAAAGACATTGCAATTGAAAGCAATGCTAACAATACTATTACTATTGACTTCATATTTGGAATACAGAATATGTCCAAATTATCTTAATTATATTTAACAATTGAACAAGTTATTTATATACCATTTATTTAGTACAAAATTTTTAGTGCATTCAGTCTATTATGACAACTTTAATATTGCTATACTTAAGGATTAGTGCTAATTTATAAGCAACCAAAGAACTAATTTGAACCAGGTCAGGAAGTATCGATTTAATCGATCAATAAAAAAGATTTATCGTTTCGTCAAATCGACATCAAATGAACTGTTACATTAACTTTAGTGCAATTAGTTTAATCGACCTTGGTAAGTTAGTTTTAAATAATTTTGAAGTGCATTTACAATATATCAATAATTCATGTTATTATTATCTTATAATTCTAGTACTGTATGTGCTTTTAGGGCAGTGTATGCCAAGGGGGGGGGGAAGCAATATCAATTCATTAGCGTCATTCAGATCAGTACGTAATATTGAATATGAATGAATACAAATATATATTTGTATGCAAGCACTTGTGGTTATGGTGAAAATGGCACCTAATCATGTCAACACTTATGTATTAATTAGTGTTGCAATCAATAGCTGTTCACAAATTAAAATGATATTTAATTACAACTTGCAAGTGATATTACGGGCTATTCTGAAGTATTACGGTTGTATATAGATGAA